AGATCGTTACCTGTTCCAATAAGCATTCCCGTTCATCAACGAGCTTTTTCAACCTAATATCTAAAGAAATCAGAAAGATACAGGTTTAGGTGACTCCATGGACTGCCCCTTTCAGCAGATTGCTAAACTGAAGAAGGAGCATTGGGGTTAGTGAAACTGATGATGAAGGTATTATACACGTACCACGGCGAATGAGGCCACAGACAGGACGGGGGAGGAATTCAGCCAAGGGGGGTGAACTGCATCAACCTCCCACACATGCTTGTCTCGTCAGGGCAGCATCCGGCTGCATGCAAACAGGCTAATCTTCTACTCTGGGTTAGCATGCAAGAGCTCTAGGGCCAAACCACACTGCAACACAAGATCTCACAAGGCTTCACGGTTTAACATCATTAGCAAGGTACAAACACACTGAGAATCGGGATCAAATATCACCAGCATTTTCGTTAGCCTTGACTTTCCAAGTTTCCATCCCACGAGCGTTGATCTTCCTTATTTCTCTCAAAGACTCACCAGTGTCAGAGTTCTGACTCTCCTTACGAACCCTAAGTGTCCTGACAGCACCTCCGGTAACCCACTTTGTTGCTATTCTTTTGAGGAAGAATGCAGTAATAACTTAGGTTTCTGTCATTCTTCCCACCCCAGATACAGAAGTCTGCCTACACGTAAGCACCTAGAAATCCCCCAAACAACTCTCTGAAGGGGCGTTGAGTAATACATTCTCCAGAGCACAGAGAGGAAACCAAGACCCAGGGAGGATTTTAGGGGCAAAATCCTACACCAGTTTCAGGGCAAAATCAGGATGACGTGATGGTGGTGGGTGCTCCTGTGTGCTGTGCCCTCACTGTGTGCCAGGCACTGTCCCAGCCACTCACACCACCTCCCGCGAAGCCCTCCAGGCGGGCAGTGCTGCCACGTCCCTCTTCTACAGATGAGGACCCAGGCCCAGCAGCTTTCCTAAGGCCCCAGGGCTGCACCCCTAACCCCTGCACCCACTGTTTTCCTAAACACAGCCCTCTGAGTCGGACCGGACTCCTGGCCTGGCTCTTCTTCCCGAGGCGGCAGTGCTCTCACACTGCCCAGGTTTTGATTAGCCGTGTGAAATGGAAATAATGCATACAAAGCGCACCTTTGTTTTCATTAAAAAAAAAATCATCTATCCACATTCTAATCCGAGTTACGTGTTTTCGCTAATTGTTTTTCCAAACATCCTAAATTGCTATTTTAAAGGCACAGTAACAACATAAATGAAAACAGAAAATGTTACGTATAAGATACATTTATAATCCTTTTGAGTTCCATTTTAATTTACATACAAACTGCTTCTGACAGATGTTTTATTCTGTCCCTTCCATAAATGCACCCAACACTGAAACAAAAATGAAAAATAAATTGAAAACCTGGCTCTCTTATTCAATATCACTTTTCATTTTATCTTGTATATTTTATATTCCTATATACAAAAACCACAGGCATCATAAGAAACACTGAATATATCAGAAAGTGATTTGAGGCTCACATATCTATTTACAATTTTATTATTATTTTTCTATTAGAAGACTTCAAATATCTTAGACAGCAAGTAAAAAAAAAGTTAAAATGCAATAATAGTGCTAACAATAAAAAACAAGAGCAATCTGACCTTGAGTCTTATAGGGAAAATATGAAAAATGGAGAGAGACAAATGGAACTTTTAAGGAAGAGAAATTTTAAAGCAGAAGTGGAGAAGATTAAATAGTTTCAGGAAACTGGAAAAAAGAAAGAAGCAAAGTTGTTTGACATAAAGAAAATAAGCACTGAAATAAGTCAGAGAAAGACAGACAGTATATGTTATCACTTATATGTAGAATTTGAAAAATAGAACAAACGAATGAATATAACAAAACAGAAACAGACTCACAGATGGTAACTAGTGGTTACCAGTGGGGAGAGGGAAGGAGGGAGGGGCAAGATGGAACAGAGGATTAAGAGGTACAAACTACTATGTATAAAATAAATAAGCTACAGGGGTATATTGTACAGCACAGGAAATATAGTCACTATATTATAATAACTTTAAATAGAGTGTAATCTATAAAAATATTGAACCACTATGTTATACACCTGAAACGAACATAATATTGTAAATCAACTATACTGCAATAAAAAAAATTCAAAAGAGAAATGAAAATGAGTCCTGCTTTTTTTACAGTCTTAAAAGTCAACAAGTCTAACCTGTGACGTGAACAGTGATGCATGACTGGTAATTACTGTGGTACTGATCAGGAGTGCTGCAAATCTCTACTCACTAAGCAGCCCTGCTCACCGTTGGTCTCTAACACCCAAACGATAAGCATTAAAGAAAATAAAGTCACACTGTCTCGAACTCAGAGTTTTATTTTACACTGGGAAGTTAAAATCAATTGGCAATTAAAGTTATTTTAGTAACATTGTTAAAGGATTACATTTTTTAAAAACCTGTTTTTTATATATTAAACTCCACCACACTTTCTGGTGTGAACTTTAGAGACCCGTGAAACAAGAAACAAGAAAGGTGGCGAGGCCATACAGACCGTCACAGGGGCAGCAAGCCAGCCCCAGGACCCCCAGCCCCGCTCCAGAGGGGCTTGCGTGTTGTGACTGCGTCTGTCCCGGCTGCGAAGGTCAACCACCAGCAACAACCATGGTCACTCAGCACTTACTCTCCTGTGCTTTACTGGGTCTGATCCACACCGCCACTCTCAAAGGCAGGTTCTAACCCCAATTTCAGAGAGTAAAATGAGACACGGTAAGGGTAAGTAGCTTACTCATAATAATATATTATCAGGAGGATAATTTTCATTCTGTGGGTTAATTTCACCCAATCCTGGGCCTCAGGCCTCCTCTCCCCGTTGCAGAGAAAGTCGCCTCCCTCGATATTCGCAAAGCTAGTGATCAGAAGATTGACATCTCAAGAAATCCACTGAGTGTGGTCCTTTCTCTGCTCCCTCCTTGCACTGACTTAATTTGATTATAATCCATGTGGTCAGTTTTCAACTTCCCCAGGGCTAGCCTCCCATGCCAGGATCGCCCCTGCTTCCGGTAAAAGGCAGAACAGGGACAGGCTGCTCAAGAGGTCTGTACAGATGGCAACTCCCTACAGCAGCTGCTGCTTCAGGTCAGCCGAACAGCTGAAGCCTTTCATGTCTCAAAAAATTCGTTCGTCTTTGATGTAAGAGGGGCAGAGAGGGTGAAAGGGAGAGAGCGAAAGGTTTTTCTCCTGAAAGACTGTCCTCCCTGTATGAGGTCAGCACACTGGATACGCACATATTCTGAACGGAGCACGCTCACACGCCCCTGCCTTTGCTTCTGGAGCCCGGACACTTGGAATGAATCTTACTGTTGTGTTCCCTTGTTTTGATGGCCATGGTGGCATGTCACACAAGGCGGTCTCCTAGAGAAGGAATCTTATCAGTGGAAAGCAGGAAGCCTAAACTGTCTAAACACCCAGAAGCAGCATTCCAGAGTCCTAGTGACAGTGGAAATTTAAATGTTCAGGTCATTAGGTTTTCCATTAATTGGAAATACTCAGTGTTATACAAAGTAGTCAATGCAAGATATCCCATTCTCAAACACTCTTTTCAAAAATTTTACTGCTTCCCAACCTTTGTATGTTATAAAATAGCCTGTAATTCAAAATTCTCAGTTACCTTTCCCTATTTTTTACAGAAACTCATAGTTATACTTACATACTTTGGAAGGAAGATTAACATTTTACATACAGTAGCCATGCTCTGGTTTGGGGTTGAAAAATACCCCAGCTTTTTGATTTAAAGTATCAGTGATCGATGCTTTTCTCTGTCCTGCATTATAGTGAAACCTCAGTGGTCCAGGTTCCTCTGGGGCTGGGGCTAACAGGTCACCATTTGATTCTTTTCTGAGTCTGAATTGTTTGACATTGCGATCTTTCCAAATTGCCTTATGTACTTCCACGCCTTCCTACACTGAATATACCAAAGGTAACCATTTCTTGATAATTCAGGGGCCTTCACGTGCACATTAATTACTGTGTGGGGCCGTAATATCACCTCGCCCTCGGAGCAGAGTAATTGGTGTGCATAATGAAGGCTCTTAGATTATCAGGGATGGTTTGGTTCTTCAGAATCCTTATCTTCCTTTTTGCTGACTTTCCAATTCTCTGTTGCTTCCACTAGAGGTTGGGTCCTATGTGCTTGTTCATGGGCAGAGCACCTTCCATATAGGAAGTGATCTTACATGTTTATTGATTAAACGAGGGATGAACACTTGAGACTGCTGGCTGGCTGGCTGGAGGGATGGGAAGCCTATAGTAATGCCCTTAAATGTGCTGTTGAAGAACATGGGAAAGAAAGGAAAGAAGTTAAAATGGTTTGGTGATCTCACCACTGAGTGAGTTTGGCTGTTGAATCACTTCCCCAGAGGCCTTTAACAGTAGGAAGGAGAGCTGTTCCCAATGTACATTCCGGTATGAACGCAGCTTTGCTAAAGTTATAGATACCAACTTTAAAGTCCTTTGCAGCCCTTGGACTTGATTCTCTAGCCCTTGGACTTGATTCTACCAAGCAAGCCCCATAGTTTTCTATTTATATGGCACAAGTGGAGAGAACTGATCAGTCCCATTATCCTCTGCTTCAGGACACTTATGCAGAAATAGTCAACGTTTATTTGAAATTCTCATCATCCTCTTCGAAACATTCTAATAAGCATTGGCACCTGTAAGCAACGCAACAAGATGGAGACCCTTCTCAAGTGGGCTCTTCATCACAACCACAGACCACAGGAGATTCTATGAGGAAAGATCTTACTCAAGGATGGCCCAACACTAGTCCCAGTCTAGACGCCGGGAGAGAAGCTCTTCACTACTGACAATGGATATTACGCATGAGTCCTCCACAGAACCCCAATTGGGAACTAGCAACCCAGAAGTAGATAAGAGTAGATTAAAGATGATATGATGTAGCCACAGTCAGAATTCAAGTAGCACAAGAGTGATCACAGGCTTGTAAAATTATAAAATGTTTTTATTTCAAATTTTGTTGAGGTATTGGTCATTTTTGCACTCAATTATATCCTGTAACAATAATACGAAGTCATATGATCTCATAAAGTGTCAACAGCATTCAAACTGTACATTCCCCTGTAATTTTAATATTCTATAATGGATTTTTATTTAACTTTACAATTATTTTTAAAATGTTTCTTTATATAGAAAATATATATCTTGTTCAGGAAGATCAAAACAAGAAATTTCTGGTAAGAATACACTGAAAAACAACGAATGAAAATATTTATACCAGATACCAAGTGATTCAACTATTTAAAATATCCCGTTAGAGTCTAATCAGAAGTTTGCACAAGAATAGCATCTTTTTGTCTTGCTCTACTGAATAATGATTAGACAAATAGAAAGAGAAGTAATTTTAAGGTTAAAAACATAAATTTTAGAAATGATTCTCCCTAGCCAAATACTGCAGTAGGAAATGCAATTACAACACGTATCTCTTCCAGAAAAGAATTAAAAAAAAAAAAAAAGAAGTCTTTGCATAAAATGACTTTGGTACATAATTGTCATGAAGTCAAAATCTCCTACAAAATAAATTCAGTTATCCTCAAGAATGAGATCGAAAAGTATTGGTCTGAGATAAAATACTTATATGAGGTAAAGGCAAGTAAGCTATCCCTAGTGCTGTAAGATGTTTATTTGCTATCCCTAACATGATTGATTATTGTCCTAACATGCAAATCTCATCACTCAGTGACCTATGTGCTGTCTGGCCGTTTATGTACTTTTTAAATAAAATACCATACAGGTTATACTATACATATCAAGATCAAATATGAAAGCACGTATATTTAAATGAGACACCTTCATTTAAATCATACTCATAATGCGGAAATCTCAGGATACTATTTGGTCGCTTCAATTAGATGTTGATACATTTGGTCAAGAATATGCACATGCATATCAGCTTAAGGCCAAAGCTAAATATTTTGATGCTGATTTTAAGCAGAAATAAAACAGTGTACATTATTGTTTGATGCTCTCGGAACGCTCTCCATTAGAACTAACTCCAATGAGAGAAGTGTCCTTCTCATCTGGGTGATAACCTTAGTGATGAAATAGTAATCTACAGGTAACAGTCTACAGCTTCAAGGATTAGATAACTTGGTGGACTGGCATTCGGTGCGTCTATACCAATCTAGAACATTTTCTGTGTCTCACCGGTGGAGTCTCTCACAGTTGGACTTGCTGTGCAGTCCTGGTCCCCCCCTAAGACCCCGCCTCAACCTACGACAAGGCACAGTCCTCTTTGTTTCTGCCCTTCCCGTGTCCACCTGCCATCTCTTCCTTGCTTTCTGAATTAAAGTCCCCCACCTCGCCTGCTGGTGCCACGTCATCATTTTCTAGACTAACGCTGTCTGAAACCTTCCTGACTGTGTGGCCTCGGTTTTCTGATGTCACATGCTCTCCTGTGCCTTTTGTTCGACAGGCATCGTTAATGTTCTCCGAGGGACCTTCATGTTGGAGCAGGGTGCTGCCTGGCACTTCCTCACTGTCTGGACCTGGAGGACGGCTGGGAGCGGTGCCGTCTTCCTCAGCATCATCTTTTCTAGCACCTTCCTCTAATTCTTTATTAATGGAACTGGTGCCTGATGACTGAACTGTATTATCTTCAAAATCCAACGTGTCTCCATCAGCTACTGCTTTCCTTGTCTTGGTGTTTACGCCATAATCGTCTTGGTGAAGTCCTCCATCCAGCTCAGTGTTAGGATTTTCTGGCCCATCGGCGTTTTCACTGCTTCCTACCGCGGCGTCCTGTTTTGGGTCTTTAGTGACCTCATTTTGCGCTTCTACAACTGGCTTTTTGTCAGTAAGTTCGACCTGCTCTTCCTTCACTTCACTTAAATCTGGGTTTTGAAATGTTAACTCTTTCTGAACATCTTTGGTTTCTACAGGTGCTGGTGATTTTTTCTTCTTGTTTTTCTTTTTCTTGTTCTTCGTTTTCTTGGGCGACGAATCCGGTGCCTCTCCCTGTTGGTCATTCTTTTCCTCATCGGGCTCTTTCACATCTAGGGATTCACTTTCAGCATCTACCGTACTTGGACCTGTCACCTCCTGAGGGCTGCTTCTGGCTTCTGGAGAACAAGGAATGGCTTGGACTTCCGGCTTGATGGGTGTCTCATCCCTTAATTTTCTTCCTTTACCCTCCCCTTCGTTGTTCTCCCCACCTACCTCTGTGCTCTGAATCGGGACCTCCTTGGGCTCAGCTACTTCCTGGTTGGTGAGTTCTTTCTCTGAATCATGCCCTGAGCTTGGGTCCAAGCCTTCCGGAGCATCTACCTCACACTTTTCACGGTGACTCACCGTGTCATCGATACCCCTTGGAGGACTTGAGGCTACTGTGCCCACCTGCTCCCCCAACCCAGTGAGCCCTGCCTCCGGCACAGCCTCTGTGGGGTTCCCACTCTGCTCCCCAGTGTCTGCACTGCTCTCCCTTCCAACTTCAGATATTTGCAAAGGAGCACATTCCTGACGTGGTCCTACGCTAATCTCTTCCATATTGGTTTCAAAATCTTCCTGTTTTTCTTTTTCCCACTCTTCTGCAGATTCTTTACTTTGGTTTTTGGTATCCAAGGCATTACTGCCGCGCTGCCCGATCCCAGGACCTGGGACTTCACCATCTAGTTCACTGTTTATGACCTCACTTGACTCAACCTGCTGTGTGCTTTCAAAGAAGGAAGTGTTCTCCAGAATCTGGCTTTGAACCTGTTCCTCGTTCCCAGAATTTACTAACGTTCCTGGGGAGGGGGCACTGTCTTCAGAGGCTTTCTGGTCCTCGGCATTGTCACCAGGATGTAACACCTCTGTGTCCACACAGTCCTCTCCTGGGTCCTCTTTGTGCTGTCTCTGCTCAGTGTTCTGCAAGATCTCTCTTTTCCCCTCATTCTCCACCATTTCATCTTTCACCTCCACTTCATTGGCTCTTCCTAAAAGACCATTGAGAAAATTGAAGGGACCCCATGACGTGGTTGACCACACAACATACATTACAATGTAAACACATGTTCTCTTTCCCAGCCAACCCCGCTCCTAAGAGAGAGAGCCATCAGAGAAGCGCACGGACAGAAGCCTTTGCCAGTTCTGTGCGGCAAAGCAGCCATCGCGTTAGCAAATGTTGGATCAGCGGAGGCCACTGCCGCCACGTCAAAGGCAAGAGCGGCTGCTGGTGCCACCTGGGGTGAACTGACTTTCAAAGGTGAAGTTAAGTTTTAACAAATAAGAAAGAGCTCTGGATCAGGCAGCCACACTCTCCAAGATGAGGGGATTCAGAAGGACGGAAGGTTCGTGGTCCCCATTCTCATTTCTGGATGCACACGGGGACCACTCCTACTTTTCCAGCTGTCAAACTGCACTGAATATCACGCAGCTCTGAGAGCAGCTTTCAAATAATTTTTAAAAGAAACATTCAGGGCTTCCCTGGTGGCGCAGGGGTTGAGAGTCCGCCTGCCGATGCAGGGGACGCGGGTTTGTGCCCCGGTCCGGGAAGATCCCACATGCTGCGGAGCGGCTGGGCCCGTGAGCCATGGCCACTGAGCCTGCGCGTCCGGAGGCTGTGCTCCGCAACGGGAGAGGCCACAACAGTGAGAGGCCCGCATACCGCAAAAAAAAAAAAAAAAAAAAAACACACGAAGACCACTTACAAAACTGACGTTTCTAGTCCTTTAAGTGTTCATTACACAACAGTTATCAAGGATTTATAAGATGTATATTTGAACAAGAGCAGCATGATAAATTCTAGCTGCTCAGGTAGGGAACATAAAGGTAGGATGGACATTCATCAGTTTATCTTCCCTCAGCAACTCTGACACAATGAAAAGAGCTGTGTTTCTTGAATAGTCATCAGGGTAATGAGGCACCTTCCCGGAAAGCCAGTTCTGGGAAGCTGGGGCCTACAGGTTTCTTCATGTCCACGAAGAACCTTCCAAGTGGAAACTACAGCCTTGGTCCCTGACCTTATCTCAGCCTCACTGTGAAAAGCTGGAAATGGTTGTGAGCGAGGCCTTATTTGCTGGCTACAACTTCAGGCGGCCCACCACATGCAGAAGGTTTATCCCAAAGCCAAGTATATTACGACAAATATTAACTGGTGAATCTTTTCAGATATTTGAAAACTGTGTAAAATATTCCTACAATATATTGGGTTTCCCAATTTACATTCTTTCAGAAGCAAAAATGTGACATACAAAGGAACATCACCTCTGACAAAGGGGCGGACGTTTTCAGACTCTTGCTGGTAGGGAAAGCCCTCCGCAATGACCACACTCACCACCCAGGGCTCCCCGTCCATCTCACCTACACCCAGGGCTACTTGTCCATCTGCTGTCCACAGGCCCTTCAGACTCTCAAAACGCTTAATGGTGCACAGGATCTGCAGCACTGGCTTGCAAATACAGTCAACTAACTTACTTTACGGTTCTGCTATTCTGATCTTTTGACAATTCTGTAACAGAATAAGTCACAACGCCGTGTCTGGCACATAACTGAAGAAAAACAAATACAACAGAACCATCAACACGGTCACTTAATTTTGAGATTATTTTCCTTGTATTCACAGCTGGCAGCTTTGAGAAGCAAAAGGAACGTAGTCTTAAGCCATCGGTGGTGAGCACTGAACAGAGGTACATGCCAGACAACACACGTGGGTGATGGCATCGTTTGACAGGAAGTTCCCATGAAGTGACAGAACGAAGGGCATGCTGGGTGATTGTTAATCGATCAGTGATGATTATGTCAACTCTACCAATGCATGGAAGGTGAACCAGTGCTGACTGGAAGACACGAGGATCAAAGGAAAACAAGTACTTACCTAGCGTCCCATCCCCTGTTGCCTTGAGGGCATTTAACTCTTCCTTTGTCATCTTTGTAGAACCTTGGTAGCCAACATTATTTAGAGGGTCTGAAGTCTCTCCATTGGTAGCTACTTCTGAATTTAGGATTATTCCATGTTTCTGGGAATAAAAACAGGCTCATCGTAATACTCACTAAGTGATACTAGGTTAAACTTTCTTTTATAAATAATAATTAAAAAAACCCCTATTTTTCCCTAAGCAGAGGAAAACTCTACAGAGACAGAGGAGCGCTAGCCTGCACCCCTGCAAATATTCTATCAACACACACTGATCTGGGATGTCTTCCTGCAAGGGTCCTTCCTTACATGTTCCCATCCACGTCTTAGTGTGCTGGTGACAAAACACCTTCCTTGGGCATCCTCTTTCACTGCAGGCTGCCAGGAAGCAGAGCATCGAGCAAACCACTATAGAGTGGTCTTCACCTCTAAAACCCCGGCTGCGTTCTTTAAAAGGATAGAGATAAAGAAATATGTACGTGTTCTGAGAGGAATGAGCAAACTTGGATGGAAGGTTTGTTACATTCGAAAGAAATACAATTCGTGCTCACTACACAGCAAAACACTTTAAACCCGGCGACGCTTCACAACGCCAGGACGCCCCCCTCACCCGGGATCACCCCCTCCCTTACCCGCTCCTGCCGCCCATAGCTCTTTCTCTTCTGCTTGGAGGAATTCCCAACCCTGTACTCACACCCTGGCTAGAAGCAGCACTGCGAATGTGAGCTCTAAGCCTGTTCCCTGCTGGCTTACTGCTCTGGCCTTGACCCTTCATTATAAGTAGCTGACGTGGATGTTTCCATTGGTGATGCAGGAGCCAGCCCGTGGCCATACCCCCTAGACTCAACACCACCCTTTACGGTGCCGAGAGTCCACCCAGAGCTCTGACCCCCGCTGCTGCCCGTTGGTTTATTTTACTCAGTTTCCAGCCAGCAGCTGAAGACCCCTTGACATGGCCCAGACAGAACTTTCCTACCATCCACGGGGTCTCCAAGTCTAACTAGTGTCAGCCATGCCACTGTCCAGCTACAGAGGTCCTTATGTTCGAGACTTTAATATAGGAAAGAAATACACTCTCTAACTTGGAGTAATGTCCTGGAGAATTTACTGGTGAGTTTGAGAAAAAATTTAGACAGCCTATCAAAAAAATTCTTGGAAATCAGAGTTGCTTCCAAGATCAGATATGCCTATAAACATCTAAAGACAATAGGCACACCCCACGGAATCTACGCTGACTTCACATGTCTCTTTGGGGGTCAGTTAACCCAGGATTTGATTTTATTAACAGAACTAAAATCAACGACATAAAATCAATGAACACCACTATCCACACACATTCATCCTTGAGAATCCTGGAATTTGCTGTTGTCGCCTGGATTTTTAAAAACTGTACTTTGGCTTCATACCTTTAATTCCTCTTTCAGCACGACTACTTCTTCTCTAAGATCGTCTCGTTCACTCCTTATGGAATCAAAGAACTCTTTCTGCCTCTCTAATGCCTGAGTGTGTAGCGGAGCAAAGAGAGAGAAGATTCGCACAGGTGAGCAGACGACTTCAGAAGCAGGACTAGGAAGGAGGCTTCTACTATGTAAAAGGCTAACACCGGCAGGGCATTCGATAGACTATGCTTAAAGATACAAACACAATGCAGTGTTAAGCTCTGAACTCAGTTTATGCCAGCCAAGAAACATCACTGTGCATGCTCCCTGAGAGACATTAACGTTCTGAAGGATGCTCTCTGCTTTACACCCTCTCCTGGCTTAGTCTGCGGTTTCACGGCATAGTTGGAGAAGGAACAGAAGCCATGCACCCATTTAAATGAAGGATAAATAAAGGAAAAGAAGAAACGTTTACAAACCCCCAGTGACAACTATTTTAGTAATTTAGACTGTTTTTGTACGTTGATTCTCGGTGTTTGTTGTCACAGATGAACGTAAAGTGGTCCTGAGGCAAACGCAACGCACACACAGACATGCACACGAGATCTTAAATAAGCGTTGGTGAGCGTATCAGAGTGAAGGCAAGGTGCAGCTGCACGCTGTAAAGGCGCTGACGTTCGCTTCAACATCTAGAGATTGCTATCAGAGCCGTGGGGAGTGAGTCGCCGTGTTTGGGAAGCCATTTGGCATCGCGGAGCACAGCTGTCACTTTAGTAAGTGTGTTCTTTGCTCCCTACTCGTCACTCCTAAATGCAGATGGGCTGCCTCTTCTTTCCCTGTGGAGCGAGAGCAGCTGACATCTCCCTGGGGAGGCTCAAGGTGGGGATGCGTGAGGCACAGCACCTGCCACCTTGCAGCTTCCTCAAAGCCCTTGGAGAAAAAGCCCAGGCAACACGGGATAGGGGATTCCAGGAGGTCTGAGCCTCCACGCGTGGACTCGCCCAGCGGGTTCCTCACTCCTCTGATCTCTGTGCCGCCCGCTGCTCACAGGCAGGCAGGGAGCCCGGGAATGCTGACCAAAGGAGAATCTCCACATTGGAAGTCCACTTCCAATGTGGAGTTAATGTCAATTTGGGTAAGTTCATGTAGTCTCTCTTTTATTCGTTTTGTGTCCCACGGGGGTCACATGCAAACTCATACAAGCCTTTTTGCAAACCAAAGATTCTGAAAGCATTCAATTTGCTAAGCAGACTGCCCACTTGAACCGATTTCAAAGACTTGAGAATCCTACCCCTATCTTTTTGTCTTTCCATTCTATTGTTTCCTGAAGATCAGAAATCTCCCTGATATAACTCGCCTGTTTCTGCTGTAGCTGTCGGATTTCCTGAAGAATAGGAACAGATAGAAAGAAAGCAGATACAGGGTTAAACGGGAAGCAACTCTGCAGTGTAGACAACCCCTGAGCCAGCAGGCGCCCCTGGAGGTCCCGGCCCCATTTTTTCTCACTGATCCCGAGTTCGTTCTCAGGATGCAGGGACTTTATCCTTGTCCTTTTCCCCAGCTCCAAGAGTAGGAAGAAAACCAGCTGGAGTGAACTTCTCACTTACAGGCACTAGAGTTCTAACCAAATTAAAAAAGTAAAAAGTCAAGTCTGTATTAGTTTCTTTTTGTCGCTGTAACAAATTACCACAAATTCAGTGGCTTAGAACAACACAAACTTATTTTCTTACAGTTCTGGCGCTCAGAAGTTCAAAATGAGTCTTATGGTGTCCCCAAGGCATGGGCAGGCCTGGGCTCTTTTCTGGAGGCTTGGGGCAGGGGAGAATCTATTCCCACCATTTTTTAGTTCCTAGATGTGCCCACAGTCCTTGGTCTGTGGCCCCTTCCTCACGTGGCTCTGACCTCTGCCCCCGTGGTCACATCTCCTATGCTGTCTTTCACTTTCCTGCCTCCTTCTTGCAAGGACCCTTTGGATCACTCTGGGTCCATACAGATGATACAGGATAATCTCCCATCACAAGGTCCTTAACTTAATCACATCTGCAAAGTCCCTTTGTCTGAGTAAGGTGACATAGTCACAGTTCCAGGGATTAGGACATGGGCATCTTGGGGGGCATTATTCGGTCTGCCACACCTCCTCAAACAAACACAAAACCACCGAAGAATGAGAATCTTCACTAATAAAAGGAACTGTCTCCTCAAACGAGGCATAGAGAATTCGCCTAAACTCAATTTTCAAGAAAACTGGTGGCTTTAGTAATGACCCAGCAAGATGCTCGTAAGTCACACACAAAGAGAGAAAAAGAAGAGAAAAGAAAAACGGGAAAAACTACTCACCTCAAGCATTTCTTCTCTTTGCTTCAGGGCCTCTTTCACCTCAGCAAACTGAAACTGGAGGATACTGTGGGCATGCTTTTCCCTTTCAAATTCCTATAAGGGAGGAGAAGAACGTTCAAGTTCCAGTGGAATCACATTTTTCTGTCACTCTAGTTCACGTTCTTATGATTTACCTTTACCTGGAACAAATTACCTGTTACCATGTCATCACAGTTTTCAAGGCCTTTTTAAAAAATAAATTTATTTATTTTTTTTGTTTTTATTTTTGGCTGTGCTGGGTCTTCGTTGCTGCGCACGGGCTTTCTCTAGTTGTGGCGAGCAGGGGCTACTCTTCGTTGCGGTGCGCCGGTTTCTCATCGTGGTGGCTTCTCTTGTTGCAGAGCACGGGCTCTAGGTGCGCAGGCTCAGTAATCGTGGCTCGCGGGCTGTAGAGCGCAGGCTCAGTAGTTGTGGCGCACGGGCTTAGTTGCTCTGCTACATGTGGGATCTTCCCGGCCCAGGGCTCAAACCCGTGTCCCCTGCATTGGCAGGCAGATTCTTAACCACTGTGCCACCAGGGAAGCCCTCAAGGCCTTTTTAACAACATGAACCAGTTTCTCTGGATTTTCTAGAAGACAACCCTACGATCTACTGTAAAATTAACCTGAGGACAAACATATGGACACCAAGGGGGGAAAGGGGCGGGGGGGTGTGTGGTGTGGGATGAACTGGGAGATTGGGATTGACATGTATACACTAATACGTATAAAATGGATGACTAATAAGAACCTGCTGTATAAAAAAATAAATAAAATAAAATTCAAAAAAAAAATTAACCTGAGGAGTTGGCACAGCTGACAGTATGACCCGATTTCTTTACAGGTAAGCCGTGCCCTGGGAAGGCCCCCAAGCTGTCTGCTGAAGGCCTGGAGGAGGCAGCTTTGCAAAAGAGTGGTAATAAAATCATCCCTGAGTCTGAAATATGCCGATGAATACTCTTTGGGGCAAAAAGGGATGGTCTACCTTGGCAAGTTTATCTCACTAACAGTAGGCGGCCAGCTCTGTACCTCAGAGACAAAACAGAAACAGGCGGGGGAAGCAAAGCCCTTGTCAGCACAAAGCCGCTCCCCCAGTCCAACCCTTCCCTGCATGAGACTCATCCCTGCAACCGGGCAACACGCTCCTCTCGTCTCCCACTCAGCACAGCACAGCAGCGCAGTCCCTGACGATGGTGTGGTACCCACCTAGCTGCCAGCAGTTTAGGGAACAGCAGGGAACACCTTCCCTCAATTCGTTACCAGTTATTTTAGAAGGGATTTGACCTTAGCTCATCCTGGCATCATGTGCTCACCCACTTTCTGAAGTCTGGGGGTGACTGGATCCTCCTAGCTGTGACAAAGACATGTCTGTCGGGCTTTGCTTCGCCCATGGTCTCTACCTTGGGTCAACATTCCAGGATCACCCCATTTCTCTGGAATTAGATTTGGGGCTTCTTGGTCTACTTCCTGATGCCTAAATGAGGGCATTCTAGGAGTAATTTAGAAGGCATTACAGTACTGTTCCACCCAAGTGGGTTCAGAATACGCTCTCTGCTCCTAAATTATGAATTAGTTTCAAAGAAAGCTTTCATGACATCAGGTCTCATGAAAAGTTTCTCCTTTGTTTCAGAGTTCAGTTACCAGGAACTTCATGGACAAAATTCTTCTTTAGCTTCTAACTCAACTACAGTAGTGAAAGAAGGAGGCCCCTGAGTTGTTATGGTATTTGGCTTCAACCCTTGGGATTTAGAGGATATAGCTAGTTAGGAAAAAAAAAGATAATGACACTCACAAATTAAATTTTCTATTTATCTCAGCAACTCTGAAAAACTGGATAATATTCTAGGATTTGAAAAACCAGCTAATTCCTTAAAATATGAAAAACAAGTATGTCTTGCTGTCTCACAAAGAACAGCTAAGCCCAGCCTTCACCAAATCAGCCTACTGTCATTAATTTCAACATATGCTCACGCTTTTTGTTGATAACATAAGTTAACATATTAATTCCAGTGGTTCTTCATGAAAGCCCAAATAAGATTCTACCCTTTTCTGAGGTTAATGAAGGTTTTTAATTCTCAAGTGGAGGAACCATGTCTTTTCCCAATCAGCAGAAAACAAATGAATATAATTTTCTTAAAATCCTTGATACTTGCAACTATTTCTCTCTGGTGTTGAGATAACAAAGTAAGAATGAAGAAATGTATATTAACAGGAAAATCTTGAAGCCTCTAATTGTGCTTTGTCCAAGCATGCTGGGTCTTTCGTAGGCAGGTTTTTCATGGTTATGATTTCACCTTATATGCAAAACACACAAATGTCCTCCTAGTAAAATTGTCTCTAGTTTACATATTGAAATTGTGCATACCAATACTGCAAGTCCCTCAGCAAAGAGCATGGTATTCTTATATGTTTGGGCTTCCAGGGCAAGTGGAGAACTGTTGTTTTTAAAAAAAACACACACACGCAAATATATACATACACACGTATAATGTGTAGATACCATATACCAAATATATATACGTACACACACACACATATTCTACCATTCTTACCTATACCGTAGGTATATCCTCCCATCCTTATACATACCATTTATATATATAGTCTACAATAATTACATATACCATTTATATACATATGCCTGTGTATATATATATTCTCCCATTCTTATACATACCATTTACTTGTATATTCTCCCATTCTTACATATATCATTTATACATATACTCTACCATCCTTACATACACCATTTATATATCTATATATTCTCCCGTCCGTAATTACATATAGCGTTTACATATATATACACTCCACCCTTCTTTCTCGCACTAGCACATACTTTGGTTTTCTCCTCGTACTGCCGCCTGGACTCAGCCAGCTGCTCTTCAAGCTCCAGCATCATGTCCTTTAGCGTATCGACCTGGTACATAAAGTTTGTCTTCTCATTGTCTAGCTGAGCGTTGGAAACCATGGCCTTCTTATATTTTTCTTCAACTTCTGCTAGTGAGTCCTGCAGAAAATAGGTCATGTTTTCGAAATTGTAGTAAGGAAACAGAAACACAGATTAGTTCAGTATTTTTAACAAAACCTCCAAAAACGCAGCCCTAAATTTAGACTTTATTTCTGGGAGCAAATGAGTCAGAAGAAGAAACACATGGCAATTTGAAATGCCCCCAAAGTCTCCCTTTTCAATTTGTTCCGATTCTCATGACTCAGGAAATTAGTTATTAACTGTGTGTAGGGGTGAAGATAACTTACAGTCATCAGGACAAGGGGGACGCTGGGTGGAAGGGGCTCTGGTCACAGAGGCAGCAGAGCCCTGGCTGTGGGAATCTGATTCTGTAGCCCGCTGTACAGGTGTCTGAAGTAACCACTCAAGACACGTGACCAGAACCTGGGACAGAGCCAGTGCTGGGGAGGGGGAGTAGAACACCTGCCGCCAGCAGCCCACTGTCCCCACTGGGGCTTATGAACCAGGAAAGGCTTAAGTGGAAGTTCACATGTTCAACCCATAGGAAAACTCAACAAGGTACACAGGCCTCACTGGGTAGGTCCTGGAGAGACAAAGCTCATTCCTTTGAAAAGACAACCAGGGAAAGAGGCCTGCAAAGTGAACATGCCCCCCTCAACCCCGGGGCTCCCACACCGGCAGGGCAGGCCCCAGGGGACAGCAGCGTGTGGACCCCGAAGCACAGACCAGCGGGAGACGACTCTGGGAGAACACAGAGCAGCATCCCAGGTGCAAAGGACCCTGAGCTACAGAAAGGCGGGCACTGGCGGGTCGGGCGTGTGCCAGCTGCTACCAGGAGGCTCTGCGGAGACCAGCGCTGCTCTCGCCTGCACTTGCAAACCAGGGCAAGGATTTCAGGAGGGACCAGTTATTCCTGCGCTGTTCCATGGCTCTCTTTCCAACTCCGGTAGGAGCTGAAAGCCAGAATCTTAATTTTCCCCCCTTTTTAAAGAGCGGTGACAAATAGGAAACTGATTAATTAGTCATGTGATTTGGCGCCCCTGGGATACCGAACTCAGACTGGCTTGGGGGTACCTTCTCAGGAGCTGAAAAGGAAGGAACAGAGTTACCATCCCTTGCTAGACTCATGAGCTGCCCGAGCTGCCCGGTGAAGCCAGAGAATAAAGTCCCTGATGCCCCACCTCACTTCACGGAGCCTGGCAACTCAACTTCCTGGTCGGCACAATGCAGTAATTCCACTTGCTACGAGTACCGTGTTATTTACTCAAATAAATCCAAGAAGATACACATTCAGACATTGCTTCCATTAGTAAAATGGCGCAGTATGCAAATAATTTGTGTGTTTCAAAAGCACAGCAACAGAACTTCCTTATCGGGAGACATCAGGTGTTTTGAGAAGCAGATTAAGTTGAAGCCCTCCTTGTATGTAAGGACTGCGGAAAGTGAAGAAAACCAAAACCCCTTCTTCAAGTGTAGGATATGCTTCTGTGGGAAATGAGAAACTGGTTTTAAGCCATGTGTGGTGGGGAGGTGAGTCCAAGACATGCACCAGGAAACATGTTAGTAACATTTGCTAATGAGGAGTTACAATTTTCGAGCCTTGGTTTCAAAGCTGCCTTTGGGAAAACCCTGAGCACACACACCCGTGCTACTAGCATTCCTGCCACTTTGAGGTCTACAGTCTGCGGCCTCTTTAGAGCGAGCATGCAGTCTGAATGTCTTCTGTAGGATTTTTTAAAGTTAAGCTGGGTTAATATCGTGAGTCCACACTTCCGTAAGCCGGTACCTTCATCTCCTTCAATCCCTGCATGTATTTGCCTTCTACATCCTGAATCTGGTCCTTTAACTCATTGAGCTCCTGGGGGAAATGGCAAAAAAGGCAAATGATGTCAAAGGGAAAAATGGACAGAGACCACAAGGAAGGAGAGGCGATTCTCTGATTCTTTTCTACTTCTGGGCGGTTTCCTTATTTGAGTAGTTGGAGCAGCGATCTTCGTTTAACTTTTTTAAGTGTTAAAAGGAAAATAAGATGAATTTCAACACTACAAAGATGAAAATGTAGGTGTATCTCATATGATATTTTCACACAATTTTATCAAAGGTATGTGGCTTCAAATATTTTTACGCAGTTTTATAAAATGAGCTTCTGAAAATGGAACAGGTTAACTTACTCATACTTAACAGTTCATTCAAGCTCTTTGAGTTCTGCTCTGTGCTACACACAGTAAGATACGGAAGACAGAAATCAGCAAAGCCTTGTCCCTGCCCTTACAGAGGCCAAGGACTCTACTTTCCCGTCTCGTTCACTGCCACATTCCCAGGGGCTGGTGTCTGGCGTGAGCTGGAGTTGCAATAAATCCTTACTGAACGACTGAGTCATGCTCACAACCCCAAGACCAGATGCAGATTATGACTGCAGCCAACTCCACTTCAAGGCGGGAAAGGATGACCAAAGGGCTGCAGGAGGCCGAGGGACCACACAGGGAGGGACATTTCAGGAACAGAAGTCAAAACATTGTTCTTATAAAGCACAGGAGTTGGAAGGCGTCTGCAGGGGGACCTAGTCCCACCGGCCCTGATGCTTAAGCTCTTCTCTGGCCTCCCTGGCAAGTGCCATCCATCTGTTCAGGTAGCACCAATGGAAGCTGGGTCCCTTTCACCAGTTTTCATTACTAGAAAGCTCGTCCATGAATGAAGCCAAACCTGACCCGGAAGAGCCTCCCTGCCCTGGGTGCCCCGGAAGAGCCTCCCTGCCCTTGGTGCCCCGGAAGAGCCTCCCTGCCCTTGGCGCTCTCTCCAGAGGACACGAGGTCTGGTGACTCAGCCTCCCCTCTGCACAGTCTCCTTTTCAGATGCAACGTCCCTAGTGACTTTAACAAGCAGAGGCCCATTTGTCCGTCACACACTCAGTGTTGAGGATGTAACAGAGAACAGTGTCCACCGACTAGTGGGAGAAGGAAAGATCACTAAAATACCATGATGGGGTCTACTGAAGGCATACTACGCATATGACAGAGGGAAAGGAAGGGCACGCTGCAGGCAGAGGGCGGGGATGCGCGAAGGGCAGGGTGGTACTGTCGGGGGCAGCGAGTGATCCGTGTCCAGCACCTTCCAGTGCTGTGCCGGAATGTCCACTTCTGCTCTGTGTACAGAGGTGGCTGGGCACCTCAGGGCAGCGTGGTGAGGGGTCTCGCCCAGGTGTGCCCGGGGAGCTGAGGGATCCCAGCGCAGGTGTGCTGGCCCTACTGGGGCGGGGAAGTCAGGGGCGGCTCCTTGCAGAACAAGAACCGGGCCGGGCCCTACTGTTACTAGAACACCAAGCTTAATGGGAGGGAGGGGAGACCAGACGGAGAAGAAAGAGCTGGAACTTCACAACTTAAATCCTACTTTACTTGAAGACTGATTTTCACAGAAGGTTTCTCTAGGTCACGCGTAAGTAGAGGGTCTTACCTTGATTTCCCTAATGGAGGCCTCAGTGTCAATGGAGATGGAGGTGTCCCCGCTGCCCCTTCGAGAGGAAGTCCCACCCAGGGAGGCCAGTGTGGCTGCAGACAGGCCAGGCAGCCCCCGAGACCCCTGCAAAGTGGCAAGAGCAAATGGGATTTCAGCCCAAACCAGGATTATTTCTCAGTCTACGAGGATGGTACCTTTACTTGAACTCAGGTTCCAAACTGCAATATCTTCGGTGGGTTTGTGGTGAGCAAGAAAAAGAGGTTCATCTCGAGGGGCCTCACGGACGCTCAGGGTTTGTCTGGAGTAACCGTAAGCCCCATGGCTGGGCCCATCGTGAATTCCTTCACCGTTCCGCAGGTTTAACGTGCACACTGGAAGTGACCCCCGCCCCCGGGGACCCCAAAGGTTGTGTGTTGCCTGGTGAGCCACCCACTAGTCCTGTTCACTCCATGGTGAAATTCTTTATTAAAGATCAAGCAACATATTTTCTTGTTAGTTTCATCCATAAATTTCGGGACCCTCGTGGTTTATAGATGACACAATATAAAGCTCTACAGAAATTCCTTACCTTCTCCGTGAAGTCTTTTTCTGGTCTCTCTTCAACCTGGAGAGGAAAATGGATAAATATTAAATACTTAAAAGCATTAAACGGAGAATCTGGATTTAGGGGGTAAGATAATAATAAAATAAAGCATCAGCTTCCTTTGTGATTTTATTTTTTTATTTTTTGCATCATGTGGGCCTCTCACTATTGTGGCCTCTCCCGTTGCGGAGCACAGGCTCCGGACGCGCAGGCTCAGCGGCCACGGCTCACGGGCCCAGCCGCTCTGCGGCATGTGGGATCTTCCCCCGCTTTGTGATTTTAAACACTCCTTTGCCATGAGACTCTCGGATACGCCGGTGTCACAGCGGTGGCCCACGGGCAGCTCAGTGAGCCTGGCTGAATTTCACCGTGTGGTTTTTCAACTTTCACAACTTCCACAGGAAGATGATTTGTGAATGAACTGAACAGGATGACTTGACCAGTTTCTACATGTGTGCAGGACACAGTGTGGGACAGGACAGGCACCAGCCTCGTTCACCCACCACAATGACTATGATCGGAACGTGAGAATATGACCAGCGTTCTGGGGGCTGGAAGATGCAACCACACAGTTTTAATTTTGACTCTCACTACACTGGGTCACCAAAGAAAGCAGCGGAGCCACAGCTGCAGCCTTTCCACTGCTTCTGAGCAACTGCGTCAACGTGAAAATTCCAGTGTAAACATTTTGAGACAGACACCCAGATGTGGGGAGCTGGCTGGGGGTGGGTGACAGTACAGGAGAATTTGCTGGGTGAAAAGGGGGACCCCAAGAATTTGGCTTTTCAAAATCTTTCCTGTTTGGACTGTCTCTGAATCCTCTCTTTTCCCTCCTGCAAGCAGGGGTCTCTGCGGGAACCCCAGCAGCCTGTGGAGCCCCAAGACAGCACATCTGCTTCAACCCTATGGGAGACCCCTGTCCTGTGAGGGTCTGTTGGGGTCAACAGTCTGAGGCTGCACTGGTGCTATTTCTTTCTTTGCTTAGCATCCAACGAAAGGCCAACTTTCTCTTTTTTTTTCTTCTTCTTTTTTTTTTTGGCACATTGAGGGCTCCTTTCCGAAAGTCCATGGGAAAGGTCCCAGAGGGCGAGAGAACTCTGCACCAAGTTGTCTCCAGACTCTCTGGATTTTCCCATCATGCCTCCAATCCCACCTCCTGTAGCTCAGAGGTTCTTAAATTTGATGGCCAGGGAGTCAACTGAAGATGCCCGTGACGGGTGGGATCACACCTTTGATCCAGGAGACCTCGTGAGTGAGCTGGGGCCCTGCAGTCACCCTTGACTGTTTACGCCACAGACCACCCAGACTGCAGGTGGACAAATCCTAACGGGTTTGGGTCCAAGGCCACCGCAGAGCGGCTCGTGAACAGGTCAACTGCCCACATCGCCGTCATGCACGGGGCATGTGCGTGCAGGCGCTAAGCACAGGTCAGGATGCCGTAATGGCGGTGATTTCCTGTAAAGACGCGCACTTCCTGTCCTCTGCCCACCCTGGGCCCGTGCTGGGCTGGATGCCCACATCCTCACCATCCTGTCCCCCACCAAGAAGGCTCACTGACTGCCACCTTCTCTCCTTCACGCTCCTCAAACCTGCTTTCCAAGGGCAGGATGCCCGAAGTAACCGCTAGAATAACACAGCACAGCGTGAGAGCTCATCAGCTGACCCAGGGGATCAGATGGAATCGTACAAAATACTTGATTAATTCAAAGAAGGCGACTTCTGAAACCAGCTCTGAGCCAGGAGAGTCGAGCTCAAGGCTCTCCTGCCTGACAGATCCAAGTCTGCCCCCGGATCTGGCTCCCAGATCCACTGCATCTGTTCTCACGCACCCAGCTCACATCTGGATCTTCAGCAAGAATTTTCTACTCTCAGCTAACCAGTCTCCTTCTTGTCCTGAGGAGAGGGCGTGAAGGAGCTGCAGCCCCCAGGCCAGCGGGATGACCCGCGCTGGCCTCACTCCCAGCTTTTGCTAAATAAGCCCCTGGGCGGGTGGGGCTTTGGATTCTGGCGTTGCCTCCGCCCAGAGGACTCTCCTCTCCACTGGGCCACAGCCGGCTGGCCTCCAAGGACAGGAGATTTCCAGACACTCTTGGCCACGTGCATCCTTTTTCACTCGATGTGGCAGTCATAGCCTGTTAGATAAAGGCAGCTCACTCACTACCATGTCGCACACCGCCTGCCATTTGTTGGCACGTGCGTTTAGCGTGTGTAAACTTATATATTTATATTTTTTCAGATGTGCATGTCACACCAGCCTAACTAGATATTCTGGAACATCTGTAGATGGCCCACAATTAAGATGGTTCTATCTCATCCTCCCTGGCAGAGCCCCAGGGAGCCCTCGACCGATGTTCTGAGTCATGAGGAAGATTTTAGCATTTCAAGTGTGGGTCTCCTCTCCACTTGGGAATACAAATATTCCTGAAAATTTCCAACAACGAAGGAAAAGTTACTGTCCAGCACTTGCTCTGCTGCAGAATCCATTCATTAGATCTCCTGGACACAAGGCCTTTATTCCCTAGAATAAGTTAGTTTGCAGAACAAATATGAATGAGATGAAAATAAAGAGGGTATTTTAACTGTTGGTGGAAAGAGAAGATTCAGTTGAACAGAACATCAAGCTACCGTGAGAAGCCTGTTGCTGTTTTGCTCTGCAGTTTAAATAGTGTCTTTCCTGACTGTTCCTCAGCAATAGATAAATATTGCCCAGAGAAATGAAGCTCCAGAAATCCTATGTTCACCTACAAAGATATCCGTGCCCATAAAATGAGGACCCCACTTTCTTTTTTGTAGTATTTCTTGTGAGAAAGATGAGAACTATACACCAGACCCCAAAGCACTGGTTTCCTGGGGGCCTTTAGCATAGCTTTGTTCTGCATTGTTTCACCATAAACACACACACTGCTTTTGTAATTTGCAAAACACCAAATAAGGGAGAAAAAATCCTAAAACCATAGCTTTCTCTTTAGTTTAAAAGTAGTTTGAAAAAAGCCTTTGTTCTGAAATAGATAACGAACTCAGAATGTGAAAATTCAGGACGTGTTTTTTTTTTTTTTTTTTTGTTTTTATTTTTGTGGTACGTGGGCCTCTCACTGTTGTGGCCTCTCCCGTTGTGGAGCACAGGCTCCGGACGCGCAGGCACAGCGGCCATGGCTCACGGGCCCAGCCGCTCCACGGCATGTGGGATCTTCCCAGACCGGGGCACGAACCCGCGTCCCTTGCATCGGCAGGCGGACGCCCAACCACTGCGCCACCAGGGAAGCCCCAGGACGTGTTTTTAAGTAGAGACCACGGAGGGAAAAATTAAGCTCTCAATGACAGTTATAGCCAATCTATGCTTGACTATTGTTTCCAATCTGTATTTTACTATCAGGGTGACTGACGTTTGTGTGTTTTCTGAATGACAAGGGACACGTGTATCTGCCAGCCTTCCTGCAACCTAAGAAGTACGCGGAGCCCCATGGAAAGTGGTGCAGTTTTGGTTGGGGGAGGGACGGATTGGGAGTTTGGGATTAGCAGATGCAAACTATTATATATCGAATGGATAAACAACAAGGTCCTACTGTATAGCGCAGGGAACTGAACTATATTTAATATCCTGTGATAAACCATAATGGAAAAGAATATATATATGTATAACAATCACTTTTCTGTACAGCAGAAATTACCACAACATTGTAAATCAACTGTATTTCAATAAAACAGAAGGAAGGAAGGAAAGGAAAGAAGGAAGGCAAGGCAAGAGGAAGGGAGGGATGGAGGGAGAAAAGCCGTGCAGCAGCATGGAGCCATTGCAGCCCCACCGGATGCCACTAGATGGCAACCTGCGTCGAACGGAGTGGGACCGGCCCAGGGAGCCTTGGTCAGGCAGGGCACCCCTCACTGCCCCTAACAAAGGAACAGATAAGTAACCCTGACGGTGAGTTTAATTTGACATAAAGCATAGTACTTTATCTCTGAAAATAATATACAAAGAAACAGAATAGATGGAAGGGTTTTAAACACTGTCGTTTCTGCTGCATGATGTGACCCAGGGCATGCCGTGGACCACACGTGTCCCAACACGCTGCAGCCCACGGCAGCACGGGACCTGGGACGAGCCACAGGACCTCGTGGACATCGCCTTCTTATCCGAGGAAGGGCGGCAGCACCACAGACCTCGCAGTCTGTTAGCCTTCTTACCCTCATTTACCGAGCAATACTAAACGTTTTAGGTCAGTGTGAAAACTTTATAGTAACAGCCTTATGAAACATGCAAACCAGTATTTTATAATGACAATGGAGTGTATAAAAAGGTATCTTTTAAAATCTACGGGAGGTAGTCACTTCCAAACAAATTCTGTGAACTTTTAAATTATGGCAACTCTTCCTTTCAGAAACAAACGCTTAACGTAGCACGCTAAATATTTTGTTAATTCCAACCTTCTAAAATCGTGTCTAAATGAGCACACTATTTAGGCTCACTTAAATATAATGTCTGGTGAGGTTTCAAATTCCAAGTTTTCCGTATCACCACCTGGCTTGCCCACCTTCCTCGAGACACAGTACAGTAGGTGGGCGTGGGAAGACCCTAGCAAGGGGGCCAGGGACAAAGGGACTTTTCCTCATGGTGCCCCAAGCCCCAGATGGGAAATGGGATCATGGACGCAGTGTCATCACGGGGTCCCTCTCGAGAAACCCACTGACAGTACTGAACGCTGCTCAGAAAACACCCATTTTAAGGGTAATTTTCCTTCAGATATAAACAGCAGTGGAGGCTACCATTAGAATGGAAATTTCTGGTTTAAATCCGATAATATTGACCTCATCCTGAATGACTGGTCCTTGAACTCTTGTATTTATAATTCAAGACCTGTTTTTCCACCTGGTTCCTGCTTCCACCTCTTCACACGACACAAAACATGAGTCATTACAGTCTTTTGTTTTTCTAACTCAGATGGGGCTGAGATTCCTGTTCACCACCAATGCTTCTCTGAAAACACACTGGCGCGTGAACCTGGGCGCCACGCAGGACACCCCTGACCGGTGCTTCCGTGACCCGGCAGGTTCGCTGGGTTCTGAGGCCTGGGTGACACAGCTGCGTCGCGCCCTCCAGGTGAGGCCCTCTGCCGGGCTGTTCTCCGGGCCTGGATTACCCAGACTCCCGAGTCCAGCTCCCTGGAAGCATCCTGCCTCTTTCCTTCGAGCCCGTGCTCTGAGTTCTATACTGTATTGCGCCCATTTGCTGAGGTCTGTGAGGGGAGCAGGTGTGTTCCTTCACCACTGCAGCCCTGTGTCTAGAACATTCGATAAACACTGGCTGAATGAACGGACCCCAACTTCCTCAACAGGAAGGTTCTGGAGAAGAAAATAGGGCTCAGCTACAGAACGTGAAAAATGAGATGAGGTCCCATAGTGTATGCCCTTCTGAGATGGGGCGGGCACCCTCTCTGCTCCCCACGAGGCTGGAGGACCCAGGGGGTGGGGCACACTTTGCATCTTTGGATGCTGAGGTACCTTTATTTTCCCAAAGTGGGGCAAGCTATCATTTTCCCTCATTCTGGTTACTTTTGTTCTTGGGCAATGCTCCACTTGCCCGTCCCCTGGGGCACCAGCCTACATCCCACACCCAGAGCCTCCCAGGGCTGCCCCTGCCCCGGCTCCTACTTCCTCCCGGAGAGGCCCCTGCCCCCTGCCCTCACCCGTACCACCCCCTGGAACCATATGATGGATCACCAGGCGGGATCATTCTCCCCGAGCCATAGTGGACAACACTCACAGCCCTGGAAAACTCGCCCAGGAGAAGCAGGTTATCAACCCAAATCTTTTCTTGTTTTTGGTTTTCAAGCATATCATTACTCGTCTTTCCAGGTGGAGTTCAGGAAGTCTACGTGCCTTGGCCAGGTGTCCCCAGCCAGGAATGAGAGCTGTGACATCTTAACTTGGGTCTTGGAACTCCCCCTTCCTGCTCTGCGTCCTTCTGAGAAGCCAGGCGGGGAGGATCACTCACCCCACGGGCCTCTCCCTGGGCACCGCCTGTCCCTGCAGGCCTCCCTCCCAGGCAGGAGGACCAGGGGAGTCTGAGCACAAGTTTCCTGGCCTCTTTCCAATCAACAAGGCCAAATGCATCCACTTACACTGTTCGTCTCGCAAGCCCAAAATGCAAACTCCCAGCCCTTTCCAGTGGTGTGACCGTGCAGGCTCAGAAAAGAGAAATGGGGCAGATTCCGTGGAAGAGGACTGCGGTTTGGTAGCACAGAGCAGAGGGCTCACTCAGCTCTGTCCTCCAGACTCTCTGCAGAGGCCAGGAATGCTGCCTGTGCTCTATCCTTCAGGTGACCAGGAGCCACCATAACTGCGTGGAAGTGCCCTGCGCGGCACACAGGTGTCTCTGCCTCCTGAGGGCCACACCCAGAGGCGTCCTCAGCTCTGACGCCCCACACCCGCGTGAGGTGCCCGGATGCTGACCTCTGCTCACTAACCGTGCCAGCCTGAGTCAGCCGACCTTTGTCAATGAGCAGCTGGGTCGGGGAGAAAGGAGACGGAACTGATGACCTGTGTGTAATGAACTGAAAAATCAGCCCAGTCAAGCCCCTGGGAGTCTTGCAAACCCAGGGCTCTCCAGGGACCAAGGGACGGTGGCGGAGGTCTTGCCAGGCTCCCCAGTTACCAAGAGACCCCCGCCTCTCGTCCTCAGGCCCCAGGGACACGGGCACGATGAACGCTCACCTCTCTTGTGTCCACTAAACCCATTTTGTGGGAGTAAACTGTTGTCAGATTTAGGAAGCAGATGACAGGGGAATTCATATCTGGTTTCAGTCTCTTCCGTCCGGGGAACTAGACGTGTTGCTAGGCTGAGACTTCATTCTGACGCCCGAATAAACCCAAAGACGTCAGACCATCACGGGCGCACAGTTCCCTGCTTCGCCTGAGCTGCGCCAGGCAGGGAGCCCAGGAGGGGTCAGGCCTCAGCTTCTTCTGACGACCGTGAACTTTCGTGTTCCCCAAAGTGAGCGCCAGAGAGCGAGCATCATGCCTGAGAACGGGCCGCTCTCCGCGTCGGGTCTATCATGGGAAAACGCCGATGACTTCCGTCGGAAACACGCAAGCAAGGGCTTGAAGGCGGAGGCAGGCAGGCAGGCCCGCGCAGACGGGCGCTGCTCACCTCGGCGCTGGGATCCCTCAGCTCACAAACGCTGCGCTTCAGTCCCGTCTGCCACGTGCAGAAGAAGCGACGCGCCAGGTTTTGAACACTGAACGTACGTGATACGGAACAGCTGGATATCTTACCGTCCCTGCTTGACCGGTCCTGGCTGGAGCAGTAAGCAGCGGACTTTGTGGGGTGTCCGCCATCCCATGTTCCCTGCCCCACCCCAGTGCGGTCAGGAAGCGGCTTCTCCTATTACCCTCATTGCTGGGGGGCGAGGGGGGCAGCCTTCAATTCCACAGGGAAACAGGCTCTCCTGCTCTAATACTCGCTTGCCTCATCTATCTTTTGTTTTCTCACCCTCGATGTGTAAACGGCGGAGAGAACATTTCTCTACTAGCAGGAGAGCATCCGGGCAAGCCCAGTGACGAATGGCTCTGGCCTTGGCCTTGGAGTCGGGGAAAGCAGGGCAGGCGTGGGGGGACTGAGGCCCCCGACTCAGCAATACGGGCTCAGTCTGCAAAAGGGATCCATTCCTTTGTTTTCGTCGCCAGGAGAAGCAGACGTCTGCATTTGGTGTGAAGCCTCCTGGCTTTAAAAGGCTGCATCTAATTTTAAAAGCAAATCAGCAGCACCCCATGGGTGCACGTGTGCAAGTGGGTGACTCACCCCACGGCCTCTTCTCTGATGACCAGGAACACTTCCTGAATTTTAGACATCGATGCGTCTAACTGTGGTGTTGTGTAAGTGAGTTACAAACCACAGTCAAGTTCCAAGTTCAACCTCGCCCATCTTTGCCTTCTTCTGCCCAGGGTCTATGAGGAGGGGTCCTGGCCCTCAGTGTGGCGGCCCTCGTGGTGCAGGGCTGGCATGCACACCGCTCGGCACACGGCCCAGCCCCTGTCCACTGGACGTCCTTCCCTGGTCATTGTGTCAGCCCCCCATCCCAAATGCCCCCCAGGCAGATGTGCCCTGCCAATCCCTTATGGTCAAGAGAACAATACAGTGGCCTCATACAAAGCATCAGATGCGGTAAAACTGTCTAAGATTCCAAGGACCATGGGAAAAACACACAATAATGAGACTTAAATGATGGAGACTAGGTAGCAGGACCCCTTGCTTTCTGAAGCAGAACTTGGGTCATCTCAGGCCGGGTGACAAACAGGAGAGCAGCTCTGTCGTTTGTTTCACAGGCACTGAACAGAGGACCAACGGGACAGTGGGGGATGGAACAGAGCTAGGGATGCCGTGGCACCCGCAGGCCGATACTTTACCCTAAAAAACTGTTGGGCTCCAATAACAGATAATGTTCCAAACAAAATGTTTAAAAGTGAACCCTTCAGGGGCTTCCCTGGTGGCTTAGTGGCTGAGAGTCCGCCTGCCGATGCAGGGGACACGGGTTCGTGCCCCGGTCCGGGAGGATCCCACATGCCGCGGAGCGGCTGGGCCCGTGAGCCATGGCCGCTGGGCCTGCGCATCCGGAGCCTGTGCTCCGCAACGGGAGAGGCCGCAACAGTGAGAGGCCCGCGTACCGCAAAAAAAAAAAAAAAAAAAAAAAAGTGAACCCTTCAATCTAAAAGCATGGTACAAATGAACTTACTTACAAAACAGAAATTGAGTCACAGATGTAGAAAACAAACTTATGGTTACCAGGGTGGAAGTAGGGGGAGGGGTAGGAGGGGTAAATTGGGAGATTGGGACTGACATACACAAACTATTATACATAAAATAGCTAACTAACAAGGACCTACTGTGTAGCACAGGGAACTCTTCTCAATGGCCTATATGGAAAAAGAATCTAAAAAAGAGTGGATACATGTGTATGTATAACTGATTCACTTTGCTGTACATCTAAAACTAACACAACACTGTAAATCAACTATACCCCAATTAAAAAAAAATAAATTAACTGGGACAAATACAAAAAGAGCCTTCAAATTTTTAAATCATAAAAACAACACATCCAGGCACATGGCTACATTTCTCCCGCACTGCGCAAAGTTCCCGTCTCCCAGTGAGACCCCCATCTCTTCAGCGCTGTCAGCAGCTTCCTAGATGGTCCTTTGCAAACTGAGCAGTGCAATTCTGAGCTCACTGAATAGTCATTTTCTAAATTTGGAAGCATCCTCCCCAATCCTGCTTTTGCTTAGACCTGAAATAAATCATGGAAAGCCTTCCTACTTTCTCCCGGTTCAGGCGTTTGGAGGTGGAGGGGTCTTCTTACGGGACAGAGGAGTGAAGGGTCCAAGGTGGGGGGAAGGGAGGAAGTGGACAGCAGCAAGGGCGAGAGGCCCACTCACCACTGGGCTGGCCCGCGCCGAGCTGCCTCTCGAGGAGCTGCGGGAGCTGGACTTGAAGTGGCCGCTGTGCTCCGAGGGCTGCCCACCCAGCTGGCCGCGGGACACGCAGATGGAAACAAAGGAACAGGTCAGCGAAGATGCAAGGAGGACGGAGGCCACGAGACAAAGGCTCCGGTTAGCTGTGAGGCCAGCCAGGTGCAGCCCAGAAGGGAAGGAGAGGTTAGTGCGGCCGCTGGCCAGCCCTGGGAAAGGAGGTTGTGTCTTCCCAGCATTCGACATGTGGCCACTCAGAACACAAAACTTAATCACACTATCAAAAAACACAGAATTCTTGGTTAGTAGGAAGAAAGTAACACAGAGCATCTGTTCAGCTGGGGTGTGGAGGACACCTAGTTTTTGCGCAGAAAAGCCTCCACGATGTGGAAGAGACAGGTCTTGAGAACGTGAGCTGCCTGCCGGCACAGAAACTGAAGACCGGGACAAGCGGGGCCGGCTTTGGGGCAATGCAAAAGTTTGCCTCTCTACTATCTTTGCAAGTGAATACAAAATAAGATTTAGGGTTAATACAAAATCAGGCAAGGCTTTTTAAAGTGCCGCAGGACCTTCTATCTGGTGGCCTGCGTGTACATCTGTCTGTCTACCCATCTACCTAAACTTCCTCTCTTCTAGTAAAGGAAAACACCAGCAACTCGTGTATCTGGAGGCTATGCCCTTAACTTTGATTTGTATTCACATTTGTGATAGGCCTAAATGCATTTTCAGTTTAACAACAATAACAACAACAAAATCTTACCTTCCTATATGTGTACATATACCCCATATCCCCTTCCTCTTGCATCTCCCGTCCACCCCTCCATCCCACCTCTCTAGGTGGTCACAGAGCACCGAGATGATCTCCCTGTGCTACGCGGCTGCTTCCCACTAGCTATCTATTTTTCGTTTGGTAGTGTCTATATGTCCATGCCACTCTCTCACTTCGTCCCAGCTTCCCCTTAAGCCTGCCCGGTGTCCTCAAGTCCATTCTCTACATCTGCGTCTTTATTCCTGTCCTGCCTCTAGGTTCTTCAGAACCATTTTTTTTACATTACATACATATGCGTTAGCATATGGTATTTGTTTTTCTCTTTCTGACTTACTTCACTCTGTATGATAGTCTCTAAGTCCATCCACCTCACTACAAGTCACTTTGCTATACAGCAGAATCTAACACAACATTGTAAAGCAATTATACTCCAATAAAGATGTTAAGAAAAAAAGTATGTACATATCTGAAAAATATCATAAAAGCGGTTCATGAGACCTGAAAAAGAAAATCTTACCTTCCTCTTGAACGAGGCAGGGTGGGGGGAGGGTGGGAGGGGAGGCGGAACTCGAACACCATTTAGGACCACAGGCACCTGCAGACTGAGAAGCTGGCCTGCGAGGCCTGTGCTAACTGCCCGCTCCCTGCCCCCAGGCCCCCTGGAGGCCCGCAGGCATCATTCCTACTGCAAATTATGGGGCCACAAAACTTCAGGGGCGCTCACGATCCTTATCGTAAGTAAATACCATCGTTTAGTTTGCCTGTTTTTCCACCAGAGAGGAATTCCCCAGGGCAGAGAATTCCCCAGGGCAGAGTCTGTGTCTATTTTGTTCCCTGCTGAATCCCCAGCGACCAGACGAGGCCTGGCACACAGTAGGTACTTGAGAAATACTTGTTGAATGAACCATTTCAAGTTTAGGCTGTTAACAGCCTTGGTCAAGATGAGCAAATTCCCCAGACCCATCTTGCCTGGACTCATTCCTATGTTGGATAAATATTTATTGTGTATTTACACGTAGGTGCAAGATGCTGTTTCTGATGCACAGATAATACAGCTGTACACACACTGTGTGTAAGAATCACTGCCATGTATGGCACGTACAAGAAATCTACCAGCATTGCTAGCCTCACCTTTTAGCTTTATTGTTCAAAATAGAGGAAAACACCTAACGTCAGCACTTTAAAGCAGAAGTATTTCGCCTTTGGGTTTGCTGATACAAGAGAGAGGAAAACTTCCTCCTGTAGACAAATCCTACTGTATCCTATGTCATTTGAGTCCTGCTTTATGGTGCTGAGATATGACAGATTGTTGTCAATAAGGTTTATCTCTGACCCAGGTTTCCCCAACTCCTGAGTCTCAAATCATCCGATCTGACTTGATCATGCGGAAAAGAATCAGTGCAAAGTCTGTGTCACTGTGGTCCATGTGGCACCTTTGGAGTCGCCCATACTTTAGAGTCAGCGTGGCTAATGTGGGCTGAAGTAAGTTATTCAATAGCAAGATCTGAGTCCAGGGTCCATCTCTTATCGGCCACGAGAGCTTGAGAAAGTTACATGTCATCTATGTCATGAAGTAGAGACACTGACCACACAGGTTCTGAGGATTATGCAAGAGAATACAAGCTGGGCTTTTCTCAAGCTGTCACTTTCTGCTAGAAACAACTCTCACGGCTCCTGGACCAGCTGGCATCGGTGGTGATGACCGCTTCCCAGAGGGTCAGAACTAAGAAGGTCACTTCACACACGGCCAAGAGTCCTTCCTACAACATGCACACAGCTTACGAATGGTAAGGAAGGTACAGAATAGAAAGGTTTTGAAGCAAAACCGTTCTACTTTCAAGAACTAGTCATTTAATCATTTAACGGTCCTTTAATTGTAAACACACACTGTGTCTGAGGCTAATTTCTTGGGGGAATGGAGACGGGGACAAGCCTTTGAAAGAGGGCTCAGGACTGTCCTGGGCAGGCCTGGGGCCAGCCTGGACCCAGCTCACAGTACTGCAGGGCAGGACAGGAGGGACTCCCAAGGTGCAGTGTCCTCGCATTTTTGTGTGTGTATTTGTCAGCGGCCACAGCTCCTAGCTGCATAGAGAGCCTGGGGAGATAGCATTCCTGGGCGCGGGGAACTCCACATCCCCTTGCAGGGCTATCCTGAGGGCTGGGGGTGGGGCAGAGATGGGAAAGGATGAGAGGTCAGTGAACCTTCCCTCCCACCAGGCCTGCTGATCGGTGGCTGGCACACAGCTGATGGCCCAGAGATCTCTTCTGAGGGATTTTTATCCCAGGGTTCAATTTGTCCCATGTAATCCAGCAAACGCATGCTGTGCTCCTTCTGCAAGAGAGTGTGGTGTTAGGTGCAGAAAAAAAAAATCTTTTGATTCTCTTTTACTTCTTCAGCCTGGTGTGAGACCGGGGACGTGAGCCCTATTTTAGGCATTCTGCTGTCGGGACAAGAAGACCTTTTACCTCCTAACTCCCTAAAGCCATACCGCCCAGGCAGTTCCTACAGAAGGGTTTAAAGCACCAAATAACTGCTACACAAAAGAGCAATCAGCGATGCCAGTCACAGGGCCCCGAAGGTCAGCAATCGGCTACTTGAAAAAGTCCATCTACAGAGGCAACACTTAAAGAGAATCTAAGAGACGTACATCCCGCCAGACATTAGAAGTTCTGCTTTGGTGCTTGGGAAGATCCATTCTCTTAAAGAGTTAGGCTGCTGCCTCTTACTGATAAAACAAAATCATTTAGTTGCATTTTATCCGTCCTATGGGCCTGAGCTATTTCATCCATTAGGTATGGTTTATGAGCTTTTTAAGGGCCTACAAAAATATTTAAGAACTTGGAAAAAGACAATATAGCGGGTTCCACTGCATTAAAATTTTATGCAATATAAAATTGTTCAATGCAAGTGTTCAATTAGATGTCGACAGAAACTCATGCCACGTGGGACTGACACATACACACCACTACGTATAAAACAGATAACTAACACGGACCTACTGTAGAGCACAGAGAACTCTGCTCAATACTCTGTAATGGCCTATATGGGAAAAGAACCTAAAAAAGAGTGGATACATGTATATGTATAACTGATTCACTTTGCTGTACACCTAAAACTAACACAACACTGTAAATCAACTACACCCCAATAAAAATTTTTAAAAACTCATGTTACATCAATTATTATAATTAATATTTATAAAAACTACATTCTGAAGAAACCTGTAGGCTACCCTGGCTTACAGCCTAAGAATTCCTGAATATTCATGGCTGGAGAAACATAATAAATCATAAAGCTGGATCATTTAACCAATTGATTAAGTAGTCAATGACTTCCGAAAGCAAAATTATAAAAGCACTTTCAAGTATTTCCTCAGCCGTCGTCGTTCATGTGGGGCGTGGATGCATCTTCCTAGGATTTGTGCAGGAGCCTCAGGACGCAGAAGCATCCGCCCCTGGGGAGGGCTGACTGGGTCCAAAGCCCAGTTTCAGCTGATCCTCAGGACAGGTCAACCAGTTTCCGCACTTCCATGGGCCCAGCCCGTTTTGTTTTCCTTTATCCTTCACTCATCTTTTTCATTCAACAAGTATTTCTTGTACAACTACTACACCTTTATTGAGAAACCCTATCACTTCAAATCTTTCAAAGAGGTGAAAGGACAACAAAATAGGAAAAGGAAATTCCTTATGTGTAATATTCTAGTCCTTAAATTTGTTCATCTTCCTCGATCACCCAGAGGTGAGAATAATTTGTGGCCTGTTGAATTCCCTTTTGACTCTTTGACTCCTTTTATTATTATAAGATCACTTCATCCCTTGTTGCAGGGAAAGAGCAGATAAAACTCAATTAAGATGAATCTTTCTCCCTTTGACCTCAACATAAACTGACGAGTGAGGACATTAAACTAACACCAAAGGCTGTATGACTTACGTTATCCATGACCCTTATTACCATGGAAAACTGGGATGAGACAGTGTTTCCTTCCTATCACTCTGGTTAGTTATCTCCCAGGGCTGAAGCTGTGCTGAGAGAGTCACCCCAGGGTCATGCAGCAGAAAGCTCGGGAAACACAGAAAGTGCCTTACAGCGTGGGAACCGCAGGCACTGCTCCGCCGAGCCCCACCGAGACTGCTCTCATCCGACACAGACGCCTGTGACGAAAACAGACTGTCAGGACAGAGCACCTTTCCTCTCTCCATCGGCACCCAGGAAACACTGAAATGTAAGCTAAGGAAGAGTGACACACGCCAGGAACACATCCTGAAAAACACCACGATGGAAGACATG